TTGGGGGGAGCCCCGCGTGTTCCCCGGAGCGTCCCCCCAAGAGCCCCCCGGCTCTCCGGCCGCGGGGGGAGCGCAAGGCGCGATCCCGTCGGTGCGGGCGTGTGCAGGGGGAAAAGCACGTGGGGCTGGGGGGTGAGCGCCGGGTCCTGCGAGCACGGTGCGCTCGTGCAAGCGCCGGTCGTGCACGGACACGAGTGTGCGGGTGTGCAAACACGCGCTCGTGCAAACAAACGGTGCCGCGAACCGCGTGTGCGAGGGGCACGCGTGCAGCCGAGCACTGGTGGGGGTGTGAGTGTGCCGGGGCAGCGCCCTGCGCTGGGTGGGAGCACACGAGCATGTGCTTGTAAGCCTGCGAGGGCGCAGTTGTGCACGCGTGTTAAGTGTGCAAGAGGGAGCTTTTCCGCACCCGCACGCAACCCACGGCTGCGCTGCCGCGGTGACAGGAGCGGGACAGGCATGGGGACACGCGGTGCCACCACAACCCCCGCTCGCACCGCACCGACAAACTGAGCACCGACACGCTCATCACACCCAAATGGCTTTGCTGGGCTGGGGAAGCGCTTGGGGGGGCTTGAAAGGGGTGAAGGGAGGATGAGGGGTGGAAGAAGGGGGTGCTGGAGGGATTTAGGGGTTCCGGAGGGATCTGGGGGGTCCGCAGGGGGATGTGCCCATCCCGTGGCGCCGGGGCAGCGTTGGGGCGCTCTTGGTCGCACCCTGACACTCTCGGGGAGCGGATTTTTGGGCCGAGACCGCCACCTTCTGGGAGGCCACCCACGGCCCCGAGGGGCACGGAGCCCCCCGGACCCCCGCGATGGGGAAACTGAGCCAGGGAAGGGGGTCAATACCAACCCCCCCGCCATTGTCACCACGTGTTTACTGTAGGACCTACAGTAACGCCGCGGGGTCGCAGCAGGGATCATTTGTGGGCCTCAGCAGGAGCCCGCGTGGGGAAACTGAGGCAGGGGGACCATCACCTCCAGCACAGCCCCTCGCTGGTGTCGCTGGCACGGCTTGGGTGAAAATAATGTAAAATCCGCCAAAACACACATCTACCCCCCAGGGGGGCACCACAATTCACCCCAGTTTCCCGGGGTGGCGGGGGAGGGCTGCCCAACTCCCACAGCCAGGCTTGCTGCTCCCCAGTCCTCCCAGTCCTCCCAGT